TTCGCTGGTTTCTATTCGCTTTTCTCGGCTTCCAAACGGTTTTCGAACCACTTTTTTGCTGTGGACCCCGCCTATTTGGGTGCATACTTCACCGACGTGAGCTACGCTCATGATCACCCATTGTGTGCTTTGTACTTCTGAGCCCATGCGCCGTCCCAAACATGACGCAGGCTCTTTGAGAGGAACTTCAATTTCGTAATAGGCACAAATGAACGCCATAGACAGACCTGAGGCTTTATGTTAGGGTTTTCAATAAATAATGATGTTTTTTTCATATTCAATTTCTCCTTTAAGTTTTCATGTTTCTACATAATGTTACGAACCATTCGAAGAAGAATTGTCTGCTTCACAAACCTATCATTTCTTTTCTATATTTATTGCCAACTTGTTGAATTCCAAGTTACCGATGGGATGTCAAGTCGAAGAGAATTGGTCATATCAGCGACTATGTAGCTCTAACTCTGTACTCCAACACGGGAAATCGATCAGTGGTATACCCCTCACTTAGTCATGAGTTCTTTTGAAGAAACGCTGTTGGGTCATTGAAAACTTTCTCGCTTTTTCAAATTAGCTTTCTCCGCCAATACTCAATGCTTAGCCATTACGTCGTTGAAATTAGATATTATACCCCAATAGTAAAGAAGTTTAGGCTTCTCTACTGCTGAGGCATAAAAACTGAAGAAATGCTTAGGAGAAGTCGAATAACCCTGAGAAGCATGCCAGCTTGATTTTTGTTCAGGGAAATTTTTTTCGGCAAATTGGTCATTTTCGAGGATTTGAAACATTATGGTGTAGGTATAAACTTCACTTAGCTCATTATGGAAGTAATACCTGAAGATGTGAGCAGATAGAGCTGGAAAAGAGCTTACGAAATATGTATCACCTGATATAAAACAGTGGGGTTTTGGAGAAGAAATTTTAATTTGTAGAACTGCTGTGAACGGAGGTCGACCAAAAAACCAACTTTGTAAAGAAAAAGGGCAAGACTTTTTGGATAACCTAATGTAGTGAATGCAGAAAAGAAGCAGAGGTTTATAGCCACACAATTCTCTTTCGAACGGATATGTAATATCATGTAGAGACATGAAATTTCAGAGAAAAAGTCTCATCTGAAAAAAATATGAAATACTTATTCACCTAAGATATAGTGCAATTCGCCGAAAAGTGAGGGAATGAGCAAAAAAGAGGTGTGAAAGACGACTGGTTGGTCACTGGAGGCGATAATCTCACGAAAGTAACGGTTTTGAATGAAGATAGAAATTCACCCAAACTGGAGAAGCTATGCTTACAAGTCTATCATTACTTGACCTGTATTTTTTGGCTACTGCTTTTATCCTCGATATCGTCTGCCGTCACAGGAATGCCCATGTAAAGAACCTATTGTGGTTTAATT